AGGTCTTGCGGGGCATATTGAAAAGAGCAAAATGAATGCTCACAAGGATATATGTTAGCCCCAACAAGAGTAACAAATGATATTATAAATATATGTTCGTCCCATATACTTAGTATAGATAGTATACTATATAGCTAAGAAAAGCTCCCTTACCAAGCAAAACTTTGGTTGCCTATGCTGAGTAAATTAAAGAAGTAAATTCAAATTTTTGAAAATATGAAATCAAATTTTAATTAATGTACTTCCCAATAACTCCAAAATAGTGATTCACATTAGATTTGTTAGGCAAACTATATGAGAAACTCAATTTTTCTGTCCCAATATTAACCAAACCTATGGCTCAATGCAAATAAAATTTAAAGACATATAAACATGCGAGCGAAATTTTAAGTTCAAAATAAAAAATGTACATGTAGTTGGATGTGTTCTACTAAAATTGCTATTTCTTTGATAATACATGAAAGTCACTAAGTTTTAAGAAGCAATCTACTACAAAATATTTTCAAAATATTGTATTGTCTTGGCCTTCAGAGGTCATATAAGGTGACGGTCTTTTTTTTTTTTTTAATAGTTGGGGATTCATTGAGGGTATAAGAAACCAGGTTACACTGTTTGCATTTGTTAGGTAAATCCCATTCCTAGCATATTATTTATAATCTACAAAAAGATAATGTAAAAAAACGAAGGGAATATTAGATCCTAGCGTATTAGTTTATGGGTATCTTTGATTTATGATCCTGTCTCTTAGTTTATAATTGTTATCACAAGAAAGAAAAATTCCAATGACCTCTTTATCTTGCAAAATGTAGGACAGAATAGTAGTAGATTAAACTCAGGTTATTATATTAATTCTGGGCTTCCAACCCCAGTGAATATTCAAATATAGCAACAATTATCTTGAGTCCAAAAATGAAAAGTCTAAAGAAGGCAAAAAACATAAGGCCTTTTCTGAAATTCGTTTTAAAAGCTTTTTGGATTAAGAAAAAGTACTTTAAGGAATCACAACAATTGCAAACTGCAAAGTCATGATTTACTAGTAAGGAAACTGATCTACAAAGAGCTTAACTAAGATAATAACTGCTATTGCATATTTAGAACAAATAGAGACTTAGTAGTGAGAGTCAAAGCTTAGTCATGAGTCTGTAGCTTTGTTACCTTGACAAAGTCAACATATACCACTTAATCTTGTCATGTTATTCAATATTTCTCACTCGTAGTTTCTACATCTACAGGATAGGACAGTCATATCAAATTCACTATTCACTGATCAGTTATTAGCAGTTCCTTGGAATTTCATTGTGAAGGAAAGAAAAATACAGATGAACTTCTCGTATATAATTTTGTATGCATTGGATAAAAATGTTACTTTT